TGGGACCGATTACGAATACATTTCGAGAAACTGTTTTTTGATCCAATCTGTTCAAGCTTTGCTGCCAGGGTCATACACGAGAGAAAAATTGTGAGTGAAGGCTGATTGATTCTTTGATAAGATATATGACACTTCTAAAAGGTCATCAATTATTTCAGACTTAATAATCTAGAATCAAACATTGATGACGTTACTCTCACAAACAAGTGACGTAACAATCAATACCTGCTCCCAAGAGAAGATAACTCTGCAATACGCAAAGACAGAATATGAATTTAGTATTCATACGGTCAAAACGATTTGGGACTATTTCCAGCTATGTTAAAATTGCATAGGAGCCTGCCCCCTCATAACTTTTGTTTCAAAAGTGCTATGAAATGTATGCGGTGTATTAACTTTTTTCAATCCCTTATACATCTGGAGTTATTACTTAGAATCACTCTACTTATTATTTAGATGGTTAATTAACCTAATTATAGCATTGGGGTCAAAAAATGGAATATCAGCCTGGAATGTTGCGTAAATGGCTCACCAAAAGAACTGGGCCGCCGAATTTTTTAAATTATTTGTTTTGTTTTCTTCTTTTGATTATTTTTTTAAATGATTTCTCTGTCCTAATTTTGTTTTCTTTTGACTTTTATATTCGAATAAAATACTTTTTTGTAAAGGTGCGGCCAATTAAAACCGCCGCTAAATAAAACTAAAACCGTCTAACTAAAGAAGCAGACTCCAAATTCACCAAAGATAAATAAGAATATGCTGGAGAGCAGGCTACCCAACCCTAACTCCCCTATAGGAAGGGGGAGGTAGGTTTTCCTAGGCTCTGACCAGCTGGCAGTGTTGTCTCACCTCTGATCGTGCCCCTAGTTACATATTGTTTTTAACAATATATATAAAAGCCCACAGCTTTAACCATTAATAGGGAAATGTCCCTAATCACAATGTCTTGGATCAAACATGATGAAGTTGAAATTTGAACATGAATACTGACTTTTAAAATTTGATCACATATAACTGGAAAGTATGCCATAGATGACATGAATACTGACTAGTACATGTGATAATTTGAAGATTGACTGGTAAAACTTCGATAACATAGATAATGACTAAAACATGGACAATTTCAACATTCATTGGCCCCTTCTAACTTAATGCTGTATATAAAACACTCTTCTTGAGCCAGTGAAAAGATGCATAATTATTAACTCCTCTTACTTATTATAAAATTATTACACAATGCAATTTACAACCTACAGTATTGGTTAACATCCAAAACTTGCTCGCTATGATGAATAAGGAGAGGAGGGCGATTTTTGTGAAGATTTTGAAGTCTTATTAAAAAATATTATTTCCTTTTCTTCGTTTTGTTGATTTTCTGTACTTTTTAAAAATGGCGGATCTAAAGGCTGTAGGGTAAAAGATTGTGGTCAATGTGCAAGGAGCCAGGGGGGCCCTTTAGCCTTTGACCTTCGACCAATGGGAATCCCCCATTCACTCTGAAGCAGGGGCCCACAGAGGGAAACCCAACTGATGGTTCCCCTCAGGAATATTATTAAATGAAAACATTTTATTGTCCAAAAAATCGTATATAAATATACTTTTAATATTTTTAGCATCATTATACTTGGGAAAGAACATTTTCTTTCATATGATGCTGCAAATAATATATTTATCATCTAGAAAGTGAGGATAATCGAACATTTTGTGAAAATTATAATACAAAATACAGGATTTTTCATTCTTATTATTCTTGTATATCAAAACATTTCATAGTATGAATAAGTGGTGTTAATCTAAATATGTATGCAAAAGTTCAGTCGAAAAAAAGGTGGTGGAAAGTATATATTTCGCACAACAAAATAACCTGTGTACCCAAAGAGGTGCGGGGTTAAGACACCTCCCTGGCGTCCACCAGAAAGCAATGCACCTGATTATAGGTAATAGATAAAGAAATTCGTTGTAAGCCTACGATAAACCATTCAGTGCATGTTAGGTCACAAAAAAATCAGATTTACTTCATCATTTGGTTTGATAAAGGTTTTGTTAGCAGTCAATTTTGATATCAATATCCTCTTGTCCCTTTTTGTAAAAGCACAAGAGATGTAAAAAAAATCAACAATATCAATGGCTTTTGAATATACTAACTTAGAGTGACATAGATTGCTCAAATGAAGATGTTAGTATTTGTATTTGCGCAAAAGAGAATATAAAACAAAACGTGTGGGAGATAAAACTACTAGTAGTTTTACTCTCTTAACAATCAAGGACATATTTTGTGGGTCCTGTTCATATAAAAATGTTGTATTTGTTTTAAAAAAAATATTTGAAAGGGAAACAAATCCACACCTCTGCCAAAACGTGCCAGGCATCAGCTAATTTTCACACACAAATTGTGGTGTTCTGCGTCATCACGTGTATGCTAATTTTATCTTATTGGCAATGACCTGAACCCATGTACACAGGTTATCCTACAAGGAAGAGGGTCTTTGGATTCTAGATTATTAAGGCTGAAATAATTGATGACCTTTTAGAAGTGTCATACATCTTATCAAAGAATCAATCAGCCTTCACTCACAATTTTTCTCTCGTGTATGACCCTGGCTGTAAAGCTTGGACAGATTGGATCAAAAAACAGTTTCTCGAAATGTATTCGTAATTGGTCCCATTTCTTTCTCCTGCTGTATATACCAAAACTACACAAAAGGCTCTGTTACTGTTTAAGGTTAAGACTGATATCTGTTGGTATCAGTATTCCGCTCTTTTTGGCATTTCTCTGTCTCGTGAGATGGCTTCTGGCTGTTGATTTGTCTGTAAATATCTGATAACTAACCATAGCAAGCAAGGGCGTTTTATATGTATACTGTAGCAAATAATCCCTAGTTTTGGTTGCATCATAAAATTTGATCACATATAACTGGAAAGTATGCCATAGATAACATGAATACTGACTAGTACATGTGATAATTTGAACATTGACTGGTAAAACTTCGATAACATAGATAATGACTAAAACATGGACAATTTCNTCCCCCCCCCCCCCCCCCCTTCATCAAAAGTCACACATGAATTACTATGTCACATCATGGAAATATTTTTTGCAATAAAGTGAAAAAAATACATAGTGAAAATAGACCTTTAAATGGAAAGAAATCTATTGCACTTAAGTGGAAAAAAACCATAATTGAAATAAGTATGCGTTTTTGCACTTAAGTGCAAAAAATCTTCACATAATGACAAAAAACATTTTGATAGTAAAAAACTTTTAACACTTAAGTGACATAAGGGAAAGATATTTTTTGCACGTAAGTGAAAAACACATAATGCAAATAAATCTTTTGCACTAAGTGAAAAACATATAATGGAAATAAATCTTTTGCACTTCAATGAAAAAGTCATAATGCAAATAAATCTTTTCACTTCAGTGAAAAAAACACATAATGGAAAGAAATGTTTTGCACTTAAGTGAAAAAACACATCATGGAAATAAATCTTTTGCACTTCAATGAAAAAAGTCATAATGAATATAAATCTTTTTCACTTCAGTGAAAAAAACACATAATGAAAAGAATTTTTTTGCACGAAAGTGAAAAACACATAATGCAAATAAATCTTTAATGGAAGAAAAATGTGTTCGCTTAAGTGGAAAAACACATAAAGGAAATAAAACTTTTTCACTTATGTGAAAAAAAACACATAATGAAAGAATTTGTTTGCATGTAAGTGAAAAACACATTATGAAAGAATTTGTTTGCCTATAAGTGAAAAACACATAATGCAAATAAATCTTTTGCACTTTTAAGTGGAAAAAACCCATAATAGAAATAGATCTTTGAATGGAAGTAAATGTTTTTCACTTAAGTAAAAAAAAAAATCATAGAAATATATCTTTTGCAATTTAATGAAAAAAAGTCTTAATGCAAATAAATCACATAATGGAAAGAAGTTTTTTGCACGTAAGTGAAAAACACATAATGCAAATAAATCTTTTGCACTTAAGTGAAAAAAAAACCCATATAATAGAAATAGATCTTTTAATGGAAGTAAATCTTTTTCTCTTAAGTGAAAAAACACATAATGGAATTTAAGCTTTTTCACTTAAGTGAGAAAAAAACCATAATAGAAATGAATCTTTTACACTTTTAAGTGAAAAAACACATAATGGAAGTAAATCTTTTGCACTTAATTGAAGAAAACACAGAATTGAAATAAATCTTTTGATTTTTTTTGCACGTAAGTGAAAAACACATAATGGAAATTATTGTTTTTGCACTTAAGTGAAAAAAAAAACATATAATAGAAATAGATCTTTTAATGGAAGAAAATCTTTTGTACTTAAGTGAAAAAACACATAATAGAAATAGATCTTTTAATGGAAGTAACTCGTTTTCACTGAAGTGGAAAAACACATAATGGAAATAAATATTTTGCACTCAAGTGAAAAACGCATAATGGAAAGATTTTTTTTGCAAATAAGTGAAAAACACAGAATTGAACTAAATCTTTTGTACTTAAGTGAAAAAAAACACATAATGGAAATAAAGCTTTTGTTCTTAAGTAAAAAAAAAAAACATAATGCAAATAAATCTTTTGCACTTTAAAAGTTTAAACGTACATAGTGGCCATTTGGGGTTTTTGCACTTAAGTAATTTATGTATTGTATCCTAAAACGGCCGCCCATATGTAACTGTCTATATTATTTATATTGCATTGTACATTTTGTTCATGAGTATTGTATGGTCAAATCCTGTACTGGAATAAACTTGACTTAACTTAATATATGACATTTACTTCGATACCCGTGTGTCATGAATTCGTCTATTCGATGAAAAGGATGTGATTAAATAATGAAAAAATGTATTTTGCAATACGATAGATTCATAAGCAATAGCAAGACAGGTAAAATAATACAAATGGATTGCGCCACGACACGCACCCAATATTAGAGTTATCTCCCATGCATGAGCTCTTTATGGTCGTCGCTGATTGGTCAACTTCAAAAATAGAGGAGCCAAATTTGAAAACATTCTAACCAAGAGTGGTTCAGCCTTCGTAAATATGAAGCCGAAGACAGTAGAAAAAGATAAAAATCAAAACATCAAGGTGTCAGTAAGATGCAGGTATGTAGTGTTTGTCTTAGTTAACGATTAAAAGTCGTAATATCTGAAATTATTTACTACACTGGCAAAGTGCGAGTACGGGATTGCAACAGTACTGTGACCCGCTGTCTGACACAGGCAAGAAAAAGCACAGGGGCAAATTAAAAAGCATATTTATACGAGCACACATGTTGCTTGACTAGCATAATTTGCGTCCGTATATATTTTAATTGTTTTTTCGGATGTACCATTTTTTTCATATGTTTGATACAAGCTCGATCCTTGACGTGAAACGGTTAAATCCGTCGGAAATTCTGCTCACCTAAACAATCATAGTTGTTTGTAGAACATTTTCCGATTTTGTGTTTCCACATTTTAAAATGGTCTTTTGGTCCATGGCTGAAAAAAGACGTGCATCGTACATACATATTGTTCTCCTTTTGTGATGCTGTTGTTTATTGGAAAACTGATGTTCCTTTATCGGATCACAGGAGCCGGAAATTCTGTCACAAATTAAAAATAACATTATTACTGACTGTTATTATTAATTTTTGACAATATTTCAGGCTTCTATGATCAGATCCGGTTCGTTTCGCCCTAATATGTATATATTTATTTCAAGTGATAAGTATCTGTTGAAAGGTTAAAATGGTTCAAAAATCTTTTTATTTTATGTATCACAACAATAGTTGTCAGAAGAATTTCATTAGGTGTGTAGCTACATTGTATGTACAGACCTGGTGGACCGTGTAAATCTAACGAGTCTAATGACAACAAATGCTAATGGAGACCTAGAAAAGCTTGAGATTATACTGTTTTTGCCATATATACACAACTAAACAGGACTAAAACTAGACTGGCTACCAGCCCCTAAGTTTTTATGAAGGATTTCCTGGCTGCATTTTACTACTAGCTTATCTATAGCCCTAGTTTGAGAACTTAGGGTCTGGTCAAATCGTGAAAAGCACTCCCCAGAAAAGTGGTGAGTACAAAAAGGTTAAGCCGATACATTAGATCACGCTGATTTGATTGGGTTATTTTAAAAGATATGTCTGGAATGTGACCAGGGGCAGTTTTATTACCCTGGGTTCACAGGTGGTTGTTGCAGTTGGGAAGGAAGGAGTTCCTTTAGCTGTAATTGTATGGTTTGCTAGACAAACCAGGGCCTGTTTTATTTCGTTGGATATGTCCTGACATGGATGAAGCTATGGCAATCTGTTTGGGTTTTTACCCATTTAATACAGATATCTGTATTTACTGACAGAATACAGATATCAAATACAGATATCTGTAATTGAAATAAAGATATCTGTATTTTAAATACACATATCTGTATTTATTGTATAATTACAGATTTCTCTATTTAATTGCAACTATATAGATATCTGTATTCCCATTATATGTCTATATTTTTATTTGTAAAATGGGGATATTAATTTTAAATTTCTATATTGCAAAATTACAACACATGTCTGCATTTAAAATAGAAATATATCTATTTAAAATGCAGATATATGTTATTAAAATGTACATATATCTGTATTTTAAGTACAGACATCTCTAGTTATGTAATAAATACAGATATCTGTATTAAATGGGTAAAAACCCAAACAGCTTGCCATATGAAGCTATTACCAATACCAAATAATTAAGAAGACTTAATTATTCAGGAATTGACCTAGCTAAGTAAAAGTTGTCAAAAATTACTTTGCAGGAAAGGATGTTTTGTTTTGTTCACCAACAGGAAGTTGAAAAAGCTAGTCGTTTGAAATCGTTCCCTTGGTTTCATAAACTGTACAATTTGCTCGGATGGATTTTCATCTGTTGTTGTTGTGTCACCATTGATAGCTTTGATGATCATGAATTATCAAGCTGAAAGCCTTTCTCAGAAGGATGTAAAAGCCCTGTACTTTACAAAATTGCTGAGGGTAAATGAAACTGCCATTATTACTTTTTGAATCAATTATTTTATCCAGTAGTTAGCATGAAAATGTGGTTAAAGATACAACATTATAAACATAACATCATTACATGTATTCTGTTAACATCAACATTATGTCACAACAAACATGACGGAATACACCAACCTAAAAAAAATCATATCAATTTCAAGGCCAATCTAGTTTACTGAGCCAGTGTATGGTCAGTAAAGAGAGTGAGACTTATATATAACAAGTCATCAGATAGGATGCTGACCAGCCTGCAGTAATGAGGGCCATTAATGATCCTGAGGTGTGGCTAATGATCCTGAGGTGTGGCTAATGGACCTGAGGTGTGGCTAATGGACCTGAGGTGTGGCTAATGGTCCTGCTGAGTTTCTGGTTTCACAGGCAGCCACGCCCCGGAGTCAAATTATGTACACTCTGTATGTATTTTAGATTGTGTCTATTCAGTCAGTTCTTACACTTTGTTATATAAACACATAATGTGACATATATATATTTCTTGCATACTAGACAGAGATATCCGCATTTCCGGCGGTGCTGGAAAATTCAATCCGATCCACGGGTCTAGATAGCTTACACACGCAGACTGGCGGGGGAATTATAGTGACCTTTCAGAGTCACGTTATTGTTCGTGACGTCATTTTATGACATTTTGGGGTCAGTCAGTGTCATTGATGTCACTAACAATTGCCATCCAGGCTTCATATGCAAATGAGAATTGTGCAGACAGTTTACAACTTCACTAGAAAAGCAGCTGTTTTTACGGGTTTTAGGTAATAAGCAAGAAATAGAATCCATCCCTGATGTGAGGTAAGGATAAGGTTATTCAATTCCTCTGGATAAAATATTGAGCAAAACACCCTAGGCAAAGCCTCCTGCTCAATAGTTTATCCCTTGGGTTTGAACTACCTAATCCTTACCTTACATCAGGGATGGATTCTGTTAATCTGCATGAGATATGTGCATGCTCTTGTCTACATACTTCCAGTTACTATGTTTGAAAAAATCTGTCATACCTTACTAGTTAGCAAAACATGTTTCAATGTTTTATTATGCCCCCGCCATAAAATGGAGGGGCATAAAGTGTTGCCCATGTTCGTCCCGTTCCGTTTCAATGTAAACCATTAGCTTGACTTCATTCTTTGACAGATATTGGTAAAACTTTATACAAATTAAAGGTAAGTATTAGTATACTTCGGACATCGTTGTGTTTCAGGGATCCAAGGCCAAGGTCACACTTGCTATATATAGAAAATCATCAACTGATTCAATTTAAACACTTAGCAAAGTCTTCATTCTTTCACGAATTTTGGTCAAACTTTATATTTAAAGGTCAAGTATGGGTATACCTCTGACATCCTTGTGTTTCAGGATGTTAATAACATACAGAAAAAACATATGAATATTAAAACCAACTTATCGACTTTAAGTGTAGTACGTACCTTGTGTGTGTGCATGTTTCAGGGTATCAAGATCAAAGGGGTTGTAACTTTTTATATAACACTGAAACTAATTAATTTCACATGGCAGCGGGGGCATTTCTGTTTTACAGACATTTTCTGGTTATTGTGCTGTGTGCTTTTTTTATGTTTTGTCATCAAAGCTCTTCAGAGCCAACATTTCCTTTTTTTAATATGTACTTGTAACACTTAACAAAATTGTATCTTGTATCTTGAAAGCTGAGTATTTATTTATGCATACCACTATTGCTAATAATCAAATGTGTACAGAATGATAATCAGATTACATTTGCATTGGACAGTAATTTTTATATGTCATTCTTTCATTTTAGACCAATAAATTCTCAGGAAAAGAAACAAGGCTCATTTTCTGTGCTTGAATGCAATGCTGAAAAAAAGGAGGTCACTGTAAAAGAACGTCTAGGTGTAAATCCCAACACCAAATCCTTCTTCTTCGATCATGTTTTCCCGCCATCGTCCAAACAGATGGATGTCTATCAGTCTGTGGTCACTCCCATCATCGACGAAGTTCTCTCAGGATACAACTGTACTGTCTTTGCGTTAGTATTTATATGCAGATACTTTCTCAAACCACAGAAATAGATAGATGTGTTTTAAATATATATTTATATATATATATCTGTCTATAGTATATTAAAAGCATAGGATTTTCATTGGGGTTAAATTTTGTGGGTACTGTAAATATAAGGGGGCATATTTGTTGGCATTATAATTTTTAGAAAAACATTACAATTCTATTATTTTATAAATCTTAAAATATTCAAAGAAAAAGATTATTTAATCTTATAAGCCTGCATTATTTTCCATTGTGATTGTCTATGATCATGAGTGTACATGAACAGGTAAATTTTGGCCACTGATGATTTGAAGTATATATATACTGCTGCATCGTACAGACATTTTTTAAGGAACTATGTAAAAAAAATCTTTCTTCAGTATGCTTGCTGTTCTTGATGTCATTTGTAATATAGCACGTATTACTGATGCAATTTCTGCAGGTATGGTCAGACTGGTACGGGAAAGACCTTCACTATGGAGGGGGATCGCACAGATGACCCAGATATTTCCTGGGAAGAAGACCCCTTAGCTGGTATAGTTCCCAGAGCTATGAACCACATATTTGAACAGCTGAAAACTCAGGTAATATTGCTGAAATCAGTAGTAACATGACCATAAAGTTTTTAAAGTTTTATCATTCTCATTTGGAAGGGCAAGTTCTTCATGTAGAGAGGATTTTAAAAAGAAATCTGATCTCGGTTCTGGATAAGGTGAGTATCTGCTCATATAGTATTATTTATGGAGTCTTAATATCATATGTAGGTATGGGACATTATATAAATATGACATTCATATCTATTTTGTTACACCAAAAGTCTTTGTAGCTCAGAAACAGCAGCAAGCCTTGATAATGACATCTTGTTTGTTGATAGTCTGCTGTTTACAATCGCTATTGTACCGGCGCTTGATAAAATTGGCTGTTGCCGTCAAACGTTCTTGTGACCATCACGGTGGGGAAACGAAGCGAGGACACACATTTTTCGCGCATGTGATATTTTTCACTGTCTCATGGCAATATCACCCGCGCCCCTGAAAACCAATGTATTTTCGGAGGGTGACAGAGATTTTTGTTTAATTTTCTCCCAACCAATCAAATAGCTAGAAATTCACTTGAGGTGTAACAAAGAACAATATTGGATACCTACATAAGGATTGACTCAAGATTTTATCCCATTTTCTACACAGGATATAGACAAAAATTGACATTGACTTTGCAAATGCAACTGGAATTTATTAGATTTTCTAAAAAGCAGATAATTTTACCAAGAATATGTTTTTAAAAAAAAAGAGGATGGTACACATATCTGTATACAAAAGGTATATTTTGAAATGAAAGCAGTGTGCAAAAGCTTCTCGTGAAAGTTGGATACTTGTTTATTTCTATGAGGCGATGTCCGATGCTTTTTGTGTTTTGGTTGTAGGTATTCTTAGCTGACCAAGCTGTTTATTTAATAATGTCATGTATCACATGATTACATCATGTTCAGATTGTCAGCCAATATGGTACAGAACATTTTCAGCTAAAACATTTGTTTTTATGCTACTTGAACTTGTCGGTCTAAAGCCAATAGAGTATATATAAGTATATATATATGAATTTGTAAGCTATTGATTGTATGTTTATTTGAAATGTGTTTTCATATTAAAGATAACTTGGCTTGTAATTGTTATAATTTTAACTTCTGTCAATTTTATTTTGAGAAATGATGTATCAATTTTATTTCAAGGATGTGGAGTTTTCTGTGAGAGTCTCATTTTTGGAGCTTTACAACGAAGAATTATTTGACCTTTTGGGATGTGGTGATGACACACTGAAGCTCAAGATATACGAGGACAGTACAAAGAAGGTAATTACGAACAGCCCTGGTGCAGTGTGAGGTCTAGACCATTTGACTGCGTTTAAAACCTGGTTTTCTAGTAGGTGTTGAATCAAGTCCCAGTGTCAGGGGGAACGGAACGTTCGTGTCCGATCTCAAAATAGGATCCTAAACTGATCGTGTTATTATTGCTTGTTTCGAAGCAGCCCATTGTGAAATTATTGGTCTTCTGTGTCAAATTGGATGTGTTATATGTATCTTTATCACATAATGTACTGTGTCAGCCCTGTGATTGGTTGTAAGTTTCAATTGTTTCAATTGTGACGTCACGCCTAGGACAAGTACATGACGTCACAGACTTACGCACTGGAGTCAAAATGCTGACTTTTTACATTTCAAGGTTTGTTGTTTTACACGAATACCGGTAAATACCACAAATCTTGATTATGTGATAAAAAGGATCTAACACTCATTTTTATTTCATATGAAATTTATGAAACTCACAAATTTTTCATTTTAACTCGTCAGAGGCTCGCTAAATTGAAAAAAATCTTTCGTTTCATAAATCTCATATGAAATGGAAACTCTTGTAAGATCCTAATAATGTGTAAAACAAAACAAATCCAGACAAATTCCTTCAGGAGGTGTCCATTGTTCCTTTAAAAAGGGCAGATCACATTCTCCATGATAAATTAATCAACCATGCTTACCTTTTCCCTAAATGCCTGCCTTCACTGGTAGGGAAACCTTATTTCCTCAGGGCATATATATATATACAATTTAGATATTTTTTTAATGGGAATACATGACACCATTCTGGAAATTTCCTTTTAATACATTTTCTTTATGATTTCCACTACATGCATGGATAGTTCCATTTGGCTTATTTTTAAGAGAGAGAAATGATTAAACACTAAATTTCCTACACTTACGTGTGCCTGAACTTTCTTGAGAAAATATGCAAATTAATAATCATCCTCGATACTCCAGGGTTACGCTCACTTTGGTTCTCTACACCCCTGGGATATGTCTTGACATTATTAGAGGCTCTGTATGTGCCACACTGTGGATCAGACAAGAGGACCAGTTAAATCCTTGGATGTACATCAAAATAATTTCACATCTGCATTACAGTAAAATTAACTGGCCTTGAAGTTCGGTGCTGCTCCCCTGTAAGCCTCAAAGGAGATAAATCAGTCCAGCAATTATTAATTATTTTTTCTCGAGACCAATAATATAGCTAACCGCATACCTTCAATTTTGCTGTGACATATATATTCCATGAATGCAGATCTAGAGAGCACAAGTGATCGTAGCCCCTGGAGTATCGCGGATGATGATTGAACTAATTCAGAAATGCCCTCTTGCTGAGTTGGAAATGAGCAACTGAAGGGTTTGACACCTACAATGTACATGTAGACAATCATCTAATCCATCAGTTTTAAGAAGGGTTTTTTCTAAATAATTTTACAAAATGTTTGTGTCCAGTGTACACGTAGTGATTTTGTCATTTTGTGAGCTGTGTGGATAATTTCAGGGTTCTGTAATCATTAACGGCCTGGAAGAAGTTGTGGTCCGCAACAAGAATGAAGTCTTTGAGATCTTGGAGCGAGGAACAGCTCGTAGACAAACTGCTGCAACATTGATGAATGCACATTCTAGGTAGGTTTTAACGTTTCATTTCAGACCGAATTATTTTACATGAATGTCTTGTTTTAACTTTCTTGTTCAAAGTACATACATAAAGATGATATACCTTCTGGTCTGTGAAAGTGATTATTGTTTTAGAGTGTCAGAGGACTCGGGCCAAATTTGGAAAGCTGACAACATGCTCTTGTATTTTTGGTCAGAAGCTTAATGTTGTTTCTTTTCCCTGCGGCACCGACTTCTGGCCTGTTGACAGCTTTCTCCCACATTAAGACCCTTTGTGCACCTCCATCCGTGTCAACAAGAGTGATTAAGTTGCAAAAGTTTGTTTCGTAATTGTTGTTAAATATAGAGAGTTTACATTGAATGTCAAACATGGTGGAGGGTGCCTTTTCTGTCCGTACATCCTCCTGTCAGTACCACGGCTTGGTCCGACTAAAGCGTTTATCTCCGTCACTCACAACACTCTGTAATACTAGTAACGTTCATCAAACTTTGTACATACTGTAGAATCATTTATTTTCTTGGGGTTAAACTTATTTTGGTTTTCATATACTAGCCTGTTTCAAGGACATTATATTTCTTTGATTTCTGATTTTCCCTTATCTATATCATACCAATTTTATGTTGTCGTGGGGATTGAATATCGTGGATTTTTGCTATCCACGAAGTAAACGAAATTTAAAGTGCCACGAAAATTTTACAATATATGGATACATCTCAAGGAGTACTACAGCAATATGTGTAATGTACTATCTGTGATATATTTTCTGTTTCACAGACTTTGGTTAGATTATGCGGTCATAAAATAGGTTCTAGTTCTTTTGCTAGCCTTTGTGTTTTGTTCAGTTTTCATCAAGGCAGGAGCTTGGGCAAACACTATGTTTTAAAACCATTTTCTAGTAATTCTTTGTTTAGTTGCTGTCAAATACAATTGATACAAACTGTTGTCTATTTCAGTCGTTCGCACACAGTGTTTTCAGTGACGATTCATATCAAAGAGAGCAACATTGAAGGGGAGGAACTCCTGAAGACAGGAAAATTGTATTTGGTATGTAATACCTGGGCCGTTTTCGTTTAAACGGTTGAACCGGTCGGATCAATGTTGTTTATTTATTAAATAAGGTCAGACTTAGTAATCTGATGCTGCTTTCAGGCAAGCTTTGAAAACGCCTTACAAAATGTATGCATAAACATTTGCAGGTCCGCCAGGATTTATACCCGAAAATGTTACATTTAAAAATGGACAAACCGGTGCTTCCACATAAACGAATACGCCCCAGATCAGTAGCATGATTTACACATAATTCAGTATTTGCTTCTTCCTGTAATAGAAGTAAAAAGTTCATTTGTCCTTAATTTAAACAAGGCAAAATGATTTTCTGTGTTGTTTTATTGCACAGACGAGAAAGAAAAAATCAAATCAATGAAAATGTACTAGTCCATATTAACTCTGTGGCCATTTCCTGCTTGTTGAGGTGGACATAACTAATAAAGAAAAGAAAAAAAAGTCGTGGACTACTGGACTTGCTCAGGGCAAGTAATGTATGTTGAACTTTTGCACTTCCCGAGGCCTGAAAATTAAATGCCCTTGACCTCGGACAAGAACATTTTTAGTCTCCCGAAGTAGTAAATCCTGAGATGTTGTGTTTTACATCTCGCCTTTACACATAGGTGGATTTAGCCGGCAGTGAAAACATTGGTCGTTCAGGAGCTGTAGACAAACGAGCCAGAGAGGCTGGCAGTATAAACCAGAGTTTACTTACCCTAGGCCGAGTGATTACTTCTCTGGTGGAGCATGCCCCTCATATACCCTACAGGTAAGTCTATAGAACAATATCTGCTCACCCCAATAGCGCCCCAACCCTCCTCTTCACCCTCATAGCCTATAGCTTAGTTTGTAGGAACTAGGGCTGTCACAAGTGTCTAGCACAATTTGGTTTGTATAGGAGCCCAGGTCTGGAAATGTATACCCAACAAGTTAAAATACCTTAGTAGACTCTACCATGGCTGTATTGAGGATGAGTTCATTATGGTCCACAGTGGTGAAAGGGTTAAGACCCCAAGCACACTTTGATCCAGGTCAACATGGGTGATTATCATAACTTATGATTATTGTAGAACAAATTACATTAATTTGATTTTACAGACACACACCCTTGTACACGGCAGGTAGGAACATGCTCATTATACCAACAAGAACACACCCACGTGTAAATGGGAATGTCAACTCTTTGTATCGCCTACAGGAAAACTATGTCCCCGCCATAAAATGGGGGGGCATATAGTGTTGCCTATGTCCGTCCCGTCCCATCCATGGGGGGGGGGATTATGTCTTACAGACATTTTCTAGTTTTATTTTTATTTTAAAATCCTGAATCATATATTTATATTGTACTTTTAAACTAGACATATATCTGTATGAGTTGTCCTTACTTTGACATATTTTTTTTTTTATATTTTTTTGTAGGGAGAGCAAGCTGACCCGCCTACTACAGGACTCCCTTGGGGGCCGCACCAAGACTTCCATCATTGCTACTATCTCACCGGCAGCCTGTAATTTGGACGTAAGTCTTAGCTAGAATAATAAACAGTAGTATTATATTATGTGGACTCAAAGGTTGATCAGTTTGTAGAAAAATAGAGTTACTTTCCAGTATGTAACCAATTGTGATTTTGTATTGAGATGACCATACATGTTAAAGCACAAAATTATATCAACCCAGTCACCTGCGATCTATATTTTGAATATGTCTATTTTCTCTCTTAGGAGACCCTGAGTACATTAGACTATGCTCACCGTGCCAAGAATATCCAGAACCGTCCAGAAATCAACCAGAAGCTCACCAAGAAGACTCTAATAAGGGTATATACACTGCCACCTAATGTTTTCCTTGTCACGAAGCAAATGATCAGATATGTTTGCAGTGAGCTACCTACCCAGCATTGCATATTCTCAAACTTCCTGTGTCATATCCATATTTACAATAGGGCATTTTCCTTCCTAAAAGACTCCAGATTTATCAATTAAAACAATACGGTGTTGAGTTTCACATTGATCTGTATGTCCAAGCAACTATATAGTGTTAGATTGACATTGCTGTCTATAAACAAAGATTGTAACCACCTGATTGGAGTAGGAATCTCATGCCTTTACGACACCTTTTGTTTTGCTCATTTTACAGGTTTTCCATGCTCTTATGAAATGTCATTCAATCCTGAACATGTAAAACCATACAGTGGTTACGAGAACCCTTAGATTTATTTTAACACATTCTTATGAAATATAATGCTATCACTATATTACACAGACAAACCTTAACAATATTTTCTACTTACTGTGCTGTGAAATTCAAAAATGATGCATAAGGCATAACATAATATATTTTTTAGGAAAATATTGGAAAAGATACATATATTTGATAGCGTACATTATCAATATCAGGTCATGCAACCAGAATATCAGATCATGCAAATTGTAAAAAAAAAGGTGATATTATAAAAATGAAGAATATATATTTCAAACCCATCCAGATTTGATATCCAGGGTTAGGTCCACAAACACATATTCTTCACTTGTAAGGCCAAGATGACATGCCCTGTCGGAGTTCACCCAAATCATGAAATGGTTTCACTGCATTGAAACCAGCAGGGACAGGTCACACAACACCAATATGGAATTATTGTATTGATACACTTGCCTGGTAAACCAATTTAACATGTGACTTTCCACCAGGACCTGTGGCTTCCATTTGTCCCATAGCCTCTGGTTCCTTTTCAGTGTACAAATACAACAAAAAACACTAACAAACTAATTACCACAACAACTTACAGGGTATGTCTATTACAGGAATACACAGAGGAGATCGAGAGACTCAGGAGAGACCTGCAGGCTGTTCGCGAGAAAAATGGAATTTACCTGGCAGAGGAAAACTATGTGTAAATATTTTATTTGTCTTTGTCGTATAAATTTGTTTTATATGCCCAAAAGGGCCATCTATATTTCTCTGCACCCCTGGAATATGATATGACAAAATGGAATGTTCAGTGTGCACCACCTTGTGTATGAGACTAGAATATCGCAGCTGCATAACAGTAAAAATGACTGGCTTTGGAGTCGGGTGATGCTCTTCTATAATCTTCAAAGGACGAGTATCATCCTAGCGATTGGTTAGGTTTTTTTACCCTCGACCAATCAAAAAGCTAACCATGTGCCTTCCATTTTGATGACATATTCTAGGGATACAGAGAGCGTAAGTGAGTCGAACCTTTGGAGTATCGAGGGTGTCCTCCTATCAGTGTTCCAGTTCAATATCTCTTTGGACTAGGTTACAGAGAGCGTAAGTCAGTCGCACCCTTGGAGTATCGAGGGTGTACACCTACCAGTGTTCCAGTTCAATATCTCTGCGGACTAGGTTACAGAGAGCGTAAGTGAGTCAAACTCTTGGAGTATAGAGCGTGTCCTCCTATCAGTGTTCCAGTTAAATATCTCTGGACTAGGTTACAGAGAGCGTAAGTGTGTAGAACCCTTGGAGTATTGAGGGTGGCCTCCTATCAGTGTTCCAGTTCAATATCCTTCCATTTTGATGACATATTCTAGGGATACAGAGAGCGGAAGTGAGTCGAACCTTTGGAGTATCGAGGGTGTACTCCTATCAGTGTAAAAGTTAAATATCTCTGTGGACTAGGTTACAGATAGCGTAAGTGAGTCGAACTCTTGGAGTATCGAGGGAGTCCTCCTATCAGTGTTGCAGTTCAATATCTATGTGGCCTAGGGATACAGAGAGCGTAAGTGAGTCGAACCTTTGGAGTATCGAGGGTGTCCTCCTACCAGTGTTCCAGTTCAATATCTCTGTGGCCTAGGTTACAGAGAGCGTAAGTGTGTAGAACCCTTGGAGTATTGAGGGTGGCCTCCTATCAGTGTTCCAGTTCAATAACTCTGTGGACTAGGTTACAGAGAGTGTAAGTGAGTCAAACTCTTGGAGTATCGAGGGTGTCCTCCTATAAGTGTTCCAGTTCAATATCTCTGTGGCCTAGGTTACAGAGAGCGTAAGTGAGTCGAACCCTTGTAGTATCGAGGGTGTCCTCCTATCAGTTTTCCAGTTCAATATCTCTGTGGACTAGGGATACAGAGAGTGTAAGTGTGTCGAACCCTTGGAGTATCGAGGGTTTCCTCCTATCAGTGTTCCAGTTCAATATCTCTGGACTAGGTTGCAGAGAGCGTAAGTGAGTCGAACTCTTGGAGTATCGAGGGAGTCCTCCTATCAGTGTTGCAGTTCAATATCTCTGTGGACTAGGTTACATAGAGCGTAAGTGAGTCGAACCCTTGTAGTATCGAGGGTGTCCTCCTATCAGTTTTCCAGTTCAATATCTCTGTGGACTAGGTTACATAGAGCGTAAGTGAGTCGAACCCTTGGAGGATTGAGGGTGTCCTCCTATCAGTGATCCAGTTCAATATCTCTGTGGACTAGGGATACAGAGAGTGTAAGTGTGTCGAACCCTTGGAGTATTGAGGGTGGCCTCCTATCAGTGTTCCAGTTCAATATCCTTCCATTTTGATGACATATTCTAGGGATACAGAGAGCGTAAGGGAGTCGAACCTTTGGAGTATCGAGGGTGTCCTCCTATAAGTGTTCCAGTTCAATATCTCTGCGGACTAGGTTACAGAGAGCGTAAGTCAGTCGCACCCTTGGAGTATCGAGGGTGTACACCTACCAGTGTTCCAGTTCAATATCTCTGGGGACTAGGTTACAGAGAGCGTAAGTCAGTCGCACCCTTGGAGTATCGAGGGTGTACACCTACCAGTGTTCCAGTTCAATATCTCTGCGGACTAGGTTGGTTAACATTTTGGTTTGACATAACTGACTTCATATGCTTATATCTGCACCAGTGCAAGTGAGTGGACTAGGTTACAGAGAGCGTAAGTGAGTCAAACTCTTGGAGTATCGAGGGTGTCCTCCTATAAGTGTTCCAGTTCAATATCTCTGCGGACTAGGTTACAGAGAGCGTAAGTGAGGCGAACCCTTGGAGTATTGAGGGTGGCCTCCTATCAGTGTTCCAGTTCAATATCTCTGTGGACTAGGTTGGTTAACATTTTGGTTTCACATAACTGACTTCATATGCTTATATCTGCACCAGTGCAAGTGAGAAACATTGATAAAGATTTGAGAAAACAACAGACCTGTTATCTGACCTCAGGACTGCAGTGTATTCCTAGAATACATATATAGATAACTGGCTGTATTTTTGATCAGATGGTATTTTTTCTTATTTTAAAGACGAAATATCAGATTCTTATGCCCAGTTTCGGTCATGTGGGTTTCTTAACATCAGCAGCAGACTTGATAGCTGAGAGCTCTTATACACCTAGTAACCCATCAAAAAAAATGTACTGCCATGGAAGGATGGGTTTCAACCTAAAGATATAAATATTTAAAAAAAAAAGATGGAAAATTATCCTGTATTATATACGAACAACAATATTTCAAGAACTGTTTATTATCTATTTTGTACAGAGCCATGCAGAATAAGATTGCACAACAATGTGAGAGCATTAAGGACATGGAAGAGAACATTGATGTATTGACGGAGGAGATGAAGAGGGTAGGATATTACGAGTCCTTGTAGATAACTGTTTGTCAGAACTACACAGTAGTGTACCACAAATTGAGAGAAACTTTCTGCCTTACTTCAGTTTCTGATCAAAGATGTTTATTTATTACATTTTTGCCAGTGAAATATCGGATTCTATCAACTTGATAAAACTGATATCTTTCACACTGTGACAAAAATTAAGAGATGTGAAAATATAACCTTTTTGGTATTAATCAATCATAACGGTATCATCTATTCGCTGCATTCAAAGGAAACGATTTTTTGTTCAGATTCAAATGAAGCGACAGTAGAATAAGTGGTTGTTATGTAAATGTTTGGTACACACACTTAAGTATTTACATAAATATACATTTAATAACAATTTTTTTAATAACATTTTTATAAGCAAATCATACCAGAAAATAGCAGAAAACGACGGAATTGCATTGAGTACTCAATCAGAATGGCGCACAGCCTTGTTGTCAAGCGTGACATCATTATAAAATGCGCTAATTATTACGCTTCTAATTCCCGCCCTTTTTCAATGCATTACAGTTTTCATGTTTTATTCTTTAAAAATGTAATAAATAGAAAATTAAATGGTGTCTTCAATAAAAACAAATATATTTCACTCGTGTAGCTAATGTTTTGATGTTTTTCACGAGTGCGCATAAATATCAAAATATTAGCCACACTCGTGAAATAGATCTGTTATTACTGAAGACACCATTAAATATCCTCTATGTCTACCGCTTAATAAAGACACTGAAACTTATACATTTGTATGACAAGATTCTAGCCCTGCATGCAAAAGGGTTTATTTCAAGGTTATGACGTGACCCATATCTGTATGATTGATTTATAAGGACAGAGTAATGTTGTAACAGTTTCATGTTTCTATAGTAAAGTGTGAATTGGAGGTAGAACAGGTCTTCTTTAACCTTTACCCTTTGGTGACGTTGTCAGTTTCATGTGTACACAGGACAAGAACAAAGTCTTCACAATTACCTCTCCTAGCTAGTAGCTTTATAAAACAAGTACTTGTCCCGGAGGTGAATCACTCGGATCCAAAAATTATTTGTATACAGGTGCTAAATCTTTAGATTTATAGTCTTTACAATATTTTGGCCTTTAAACCGATACAAAAATATTTTGCATGTCCATCGTTTATTGACAATTGATAAACGGTATGCTGTGATTACAATATTAATATTTAATAGAAAATATTTAACTTGTGTGTCTGGCAAGAAGAAACACTTTTTCACTTGCCCGCTTACCAAATCTACTGGCCCTGCATGGGCCATCGGAACAGCAATTTTTCTGATCAGGTTTGATTTTGACAAAATTTTGAAAATCATCTTAATTGGCTGCCAGCGGAGACCGGTTACGTACAAACTTCTGCCAACTAATGCCAAATTCTTGTTTTACTTAGTTGTGGTATAACATACCATGTTTCACAAACAGTTTTTTGCTTGTTTTAATGGTCATGTGTTAAAATCAGTCATCGATTTGTAATTAATTGTATTTTGTTGGGGAGGTTAATTGACATGTATACAACATTTTTGTAGTGTTGGGAATCGGAATCAGTAATATTTTTAAATGAGAGATTATCGATTATAATCGGAACATCCAAACTCTGGTAAATCTATTGAAATATGTGATTATGATGGTATACCACTTGGAATTAGGATATGCAGCATAATTTTGACATGTAAAATGCTGACTTAGTATTTACAAGTTTTAACCTACTACTAGAGTTTGACTAAGAGTAAATCTGACAGATATCAACAGAAAACAGCATCCAGCATTTAAACTGATTAATCGATTATGAAATTTATCAGTCGGTTTATTTGAATTGGTTGTACAATCGATCAATTTTACATAATCGATTATCGAAACAACACTTAAGTATTTGTATAGTGCCTTATATCATCTGCAAAGTTACTCCAAGGTGCTTTACAGCACATGGATAATAGCATTCTGTACAGTGACCGTTATCAATATAGTAGATAAAAAAAGGCATACAAATCACCATTCAACATCCGACAGGTAAAAAGACATTTATCTCCATATGCATACATATTGTATAGACATATAGATATATAGGGTGGTTTGTGTACATGTCATCTGCATAAAAGAGCCTAAAATGCAGAAGTAAAAATGTGGGTCTTTATATCCTCCTTGAATTTAGCCAGAGTTTTTGACTTCATGGTATATGTAGCAGATATGGTAAGCTATTCCACAACGTGGCCGAAACTTGCAAAAGCACCAGTTTCCATAGGTCACAGGGACACACAGCAGGTGATATATTGAGGTACATACTGGTATATATTACGTAAATTTTAAAAAGATTGTTTTGTTCTGGTTGAGAGGAATTTATATCTATTTGAGTTTGTTTACAGCTGACTGAGGTTTACACAGATACAGAACTGAGACTTGAGGAGACAACAAAAAACTTGACTGTCACCACAGATAACCTGATAAAAACAACGGAGAACTTACAGGGCACTCGACAAGAGCTGAAGGTCACTACACAGGACCGTGATGAACAGAAGTACCTAGTGGCAGAGCATGTGTCTACAGAGACCTGTTTGTATGGCGAGGCTAAAGAGGTGCGTTTCTAACCCTGCTGTTACAACAGTTTATATGGCCACCTTTCCTTATAAATATTTTCTATTGATTTCAAAGTTTTTTAGATCTGAGATATATGTACACGTTATCACTTCACAAGATCTTTCTGAATCTCATTTATTAACATCACTGGTGTGTTGCAGTGTAATACACTGGAGCAGTGGTACAGAAGTAGAATGATAGAAGCAACAACAACAAAATGTAATTCAGAAAGAAAACTCATAATAGATATCATGATATAAAATTACTTGTCAAAACAAGCCCCATTTAGCCATGAAGTTGTGCATTTGGCATTGTTTGTGTGCTAGTAGGCCCAGGTATGGGTTAAACTCATTCATCCCTACATATTTAAACTGGACTTGCCCAGTCTATGATTTGGTAAGGTTCAAATGTGATTTAAGGGTGAACGGGTTAACTGATAGTTATAACAGTGGACACAACTTGTATCAGACCTGTAATTGTTTATCTTGATGGATTTTATAAAAGTTAGACACAAGAAACCTCCTGGAGGGTGTAGTTTCTTTTTTAATACTACCGGTAACCCAGCTGTCATGCATCTATGTAACAATAAGATATAAATTAATTTTGATGAAGCTGTTCTATCGTAAATCCGTATAAGAACTTCATGTCACTAATTCTATTAAATGATTTTTGCCTTGGTAATTTAGGTGAAAAAGAGCTATAAATACTATAGTAATAGTCCCTGTAGTGCACGCCGACAGAACACTGACTTCCGTCAGTGAGATGAAACCCGTAAGGGCGGATTCATGTAGGTGCGAAACCCGTCAACGAACCAACCAACCAACCATCCCTGTAATAGACTGTAAACTTTGATGAATCATTAATCTACCTGTATATTCCTCCCTGTAGTTACTGGCCACTGTAGACTCTGCCCTGTCAGATATTGACGGTCTTCACAGCAAGCTGGATAGGAAGAAGGAAGTAGAGACGAGTAATGAGGAATGTCAGCTACAGTTCAAGGAACGCTTTCAGAACCAGATAAGTCAGATGGAGGAAGGTGTCAGCAGCTTCTTAACGACAACAAAGAAATATCAGACCAGTCTGTTAGATAATACAGGTAACATTTCAGTGTTAAAAATAAGTGTGACTGAAAATAATATTACACCTAAGTTGTCGAAAGCTTACAAGGAATAGCATTATTTTTTTCTATGATACACATGCTGGGACATTAGAACAATTCAGAGTGGATCGGGTGCGTTGAGTGTGATCTCAGTTCTATGTTATGCTGCAGCCTCGATTCTGAATGGTGGAGATGTAGCCAAACAAGCTTCAAAAAATTCTGAGTGTACCGTAAACAGACATTGTCGATAAATGAAAAGTTATTTGGATAACTTTTATGTTTGCTTTCACTTGTACCAGAGTCTCTAGTTTTGTAACAAATGAGTATAGGCCTTTGTAATACAAATAGGGACTCCTGATAAATCTCCACAGTCATGTGGGCAACGAATACCGTTTCTACATGTGGTATTAGCGGAGGTGTGTTTGATAAGAGCAATTTTCTATTCCCCACAGGTCAGGGATTTAGGGGGGGGGGGGACGCTTCTGTGTACCCACTGCATAATCCTTTTGTGCTCTCTGCCTTGGTACACAAAAGCAACCAAAATGAATCTGCTGTACATATTGAAACTTTTCAGATCTATCTTTGTTATTTGGTGGATTATTATTTCATTCCTTTCTACTCTACCTTCATTTTTCCCAATTTCTCTTTTGACAATACTTTGCTTTTGGCCAGCATCATTATATGATTAGTTGAGATCTTCTGTCTACATTTTACAGGAGTGATATATTTTCTTTAATAGTCGATTCCAGTATTTATAAGGACAGTTACACTGAGAGCTATTCCACTTAAACTCGCCTAGTGATGTCCAGTGAAAATGGCTTCTGTTTCTGGTCAAATGTGTGTGTGGGGGGGGGGGAAGGAATCACTCATGCTCAACGTGTTAAATGCAACAAAAATCCCATACATTTAAGCATGTGGCGTTTTTTTGTTTTAATATAAGACTAACTTGTATATTGAGTTTTGGCATTTTCTGTCTCTGATAGTAAAATATTGGCATTCGAAGCATTGCATCTTTTGTTGTGGTGTGTTGCTACTGATCTAGGGGAGGTAAGCCTTGCACAGTTTTTTCTTTTTTAAGTTGTACATGTATGAAAACATCATTACACAGATAATTCATTAATCTTATCTTATAAATGAACACAAAAAAAAAAAAAAAAAAA